TTTAAACCTAACAGGACTCTCAGAGAGACTGAAAACAGAACGTCTTCAACTACAGAACAGAAGTCCAGTTATTTTAGTTTTAATTTTTTTAATTATTATTTTAGTGCCAGTTTCATTTAAAACAAAATTTTAAATTAAAACAAACAAAATAAAATAAAATAAAATTCAAAAACAATCACCGTTTTTCTTAGTTGATTTTTGTGTTTTTTTTTCCTATTATTTCTTTTGTCAGTTTCAAGTTATTGCCGTGACTTTTGTGTCCACCCCCACTACCCCCATTAACAGATGAGTACAAAAACATTTCTTTATGTCTGTATATGATGGCATTTTGGAGTGGAAAAGAGAAGAATTTCCGTAACTGCCTGATATCTACAAGAATGAATACATACAGCAGTTTTGATTATTTCAATTACTTACTTTCCATAGATCACCTGCTTGTTGTGCACCACAGATTTACATAGATATATGTTTATGTGCTGTAGTGGTTTGTATTGTATGTGGTCTTAAAGAATTTAACAAACTCTAAAGGCTTCCTTTAAAGTAAAAACCCATCTCTGCTGGAGTTAAGTACAGTTATGTTTCCTGCACTAATGCACAGCGTCAAGAGAGCATTGATTTCACCAAACAGCATATGCTTTGGGATATTCTGATGCAGCAATGGTCAGCATTCCTACTCAGAGATTCCAGATTGCCTCAGCTTTCCTTCAGTAAGTACATTTACAAGAATGATTATACAACCTGTCCTCTTTGCACCAACAAACTATGGCCACATTAAGCACAAAACATCACATGCACTACTTTATTTCCACCTCTAAATAGTAGCACAGATCACCATAACACTTTGAATATGTAGCACTGAGATCTGTTACATACTGACAACAAAAGTAACATAAACTCATGATTAAACTTTTTTATTATTACCATTGTAGAGTTTTTGTTTTGGGGTGGGAGATATTTAATTTAAGTTTTGTTTGGTTTCCCAGGATCACCTACAACTTTGTCTGGAGATCCAACCCCAACTTTGAGAACCAACATTTTAGAGTACTAGAGCTGTATTTGGACCCCTACATGGGAAACCTCCTTATAATATGACAAAAACAATCTGAGGATACTCAGAAGTTGTGCTGATCTTGATTTCAACAGTATATTCCTGTAGATTAAATAATAAAAGCAGTGCATAGCAGGTTGAGGCAGGTACAATGTAGGTGGAGGTTTGCTGTTAAAGTGTACCGCCTAGAATAGAGTTTTGCAATCTGTGCACAGAAAAACAGGCTTTGATTTAAAATAATTGGCTGTGCAACATGTGGCCTTGCTGGTCAAAAACATTCAGAATACAATGCAACATCAGCTTTTAAAAAATGGCCTTTTTCCTCTCAGTTTTGAGTCACCAACTGGTCTCCAACAGTTAACAGCTCAGTGAGGTGCTGGCTTTGGTCATGACACTGTTGGTGCCACTCGTTTATTGCTTTAATATATAGTAATAGTTGTTTTTTTTTAACCTAAAATGCCTTTTAATGCCTTAACATGCCTGAATCGAACAATTCAAAGAGCCCCAACCCAAATTTATATTACCGTAGCTTTACTCTTGAGCCTGATCTTCCATACGTCTGACAAGTTTCTGTTCTGAGCTTAGGTTTGGAAATAAATAACGAGCAAGACAAGCTTTGAGAAACTAGAAATGCCAAATCCTGACAGAACTGTGAACCAACGAAAACCAAAAGATTTGGAAATGATAAAAAAAAAAATGCACATAGAACTTATTTTCATTGAATCGAAGCAACTTAAAATGTCTTCAAATCATTTTGAATGTTGTTAGAAAGTCTTCAGAACAATTGCTGCCTTATTTGGTGGAAGTCTTCCTTATTTCTGACTTTTTATCGGACGATGTCCATATGCATCTTTGAAGAAGTGAAGCTGTTGATTTGGCTGGTTTACTTATCAAAGCATTTCCGTTTCTTTTAATGTCCTATAATGATTGTACCTTTCTGTTTTAAGCCCATAAATGAAGCACAATATGAGATGGTTTCTGTATGCAATATAAAGATGGATGAAAGTGTGAAGCTTTACAGCCCTCTAAATGAGTCATCACTGTTGTGTTTGAGTGAATTCCAATAAAACTGACATTTGAATTGAACTGCTGTATTGAGTTCTTCCTTATGGATTGATATGATTTATTCCTGTCACACTATAATGTTTTAGATGACTAATGCCAACTTGTGAAAATTTTGTCCAAGAAAAACTTTACCCTAAAGAAGGAATTAAAAAATAGTCTACTGTTAGCCTCTTTTGGACGTATACATACTAATAAAAAAAAAAACTGTATAGGTCTTCTGGACGGGTTCTTCTCTAATGAAACATTTCGTCTCTCCTCCAAGAGACTTCTTCAGTCTGAGAGTTTCAGGCAAAATTCAGGCTTAAGCCCTGCCTCCATGTGACTGATGCTCACATCACATG